ATATAGTTATCTTTGGCAACACTATAAAAATCCTATTAAAATTCAATTAAAAAAATATTCCAATACAAATTTATGCAGATATTCAATATTATAACTTTTGTTGAAAATTTTTCTAAACACTGAAAATTTCAATCGAATTAAAATCATTGGAATTCTAAATTTGATGGTTCAAACAATACATTTTCCAATTGTTTATAGCAAATTTTATTGGGATATGTATTGTTTTTTTATTTAAAATTGTTTTTCTGTTAATAATTCTAACAGCTGGAAAAACTATCATTGAAATCATCAAAATCTAAAATAGCGAACATTAAATTTAACGTTGTAATATCTTTGAACTACAAGTCAAATTCCATTGAATATACACTATTTATATTATAATAAGAATGAGATGTTTTCTAATAATAGTGCACTATTTTTAGGCTTTTCTTATTTATAGTTAAATAAAAAAGGGTGTTTTACTTCATCAGAAATTCTATGCAGTTATCGGATAACTTCCTTATGTAGTCATCCATAACTTTATGTACCGACACAAGTCCAATATATATTTATTGCAGGACACATGTCATACACTATTTGTAAATAACTATGGATGACTCCACAAGCCTAGCCATCCGATAACCACATAGCAAAACCGATTACTTCATATGATGTTGATTAAGAAGACTAAGTCCTCTATGTTTGATGTATTATATCCTAATATAATTTGATAGACTTTCATGTGAAGGAATCTAAATAATTATATCAATTTAGAGATTTTGTTAATTAATCCTAGCTATATTCCTAATCAATACCACCATATCTACATATCTTTGCCTATTAATTATTAACTAAAGTAAAATAATAATGTTGTAATGTTGGGCAGAAGCCCAGCAAGAAACTTCTAAGAAAGATCTAATTTAAAACCTACGACTTTTGTATACCAACTTTTGATTATGAAGCCTACAGCTTTGAGACAACACGCCGGACTCACACGTGCGCCTAATCTTTTTCTCTCACTCATTTTTATTTCATTTAATTAATTAATTATTTATTTATTTTCTCTCTCTTTTTTTTTTTAATTTAATAAATAATTATGATGAGATGTGAATATATATATATATATAGGGTTGGGTTCACATGAGAATGATGCCTAGTGAAAGAAATGAGAATAAATCGTAACTATTAGATCAGATGATCTAATGGCTAAAAAAAAAATTCAAAATTATACCTCATTAAGGGTAATGTGGTATTTTTACACACCAACTCAAAGAGATGGACCCCCACCATAAATACACCTGCCAGCCACCCCCTGCCAACTGTCCCACCCTCACGAGTCTCTCTCTTCCTTTATCTCTATCCCTCTCTCTCTCTCTCTCTCTCTCTCTCTTTTACACACACACACACACACTCACAGACAGAAAATCGAAGACACTAATCTCTGTACCTTAAAATAAAATTTACGGCCCTAAAGAAAAAAAAAACGCAGTACACCACGCATAATGTCTCGTCAGCTCACCACCACCGCTGTCCGCGGCCGCTGCCGGAAACGCCGCTCGTCATCATCGATCTTCCGTCGTCGCCGCCAGTCCACCCCCGTCGCGTCTTCATCCCGCGGACCATTAATTTCAGCAGCTCCGACCGGCCATCTTCTACGCCGCCGTCTGGTCCGTTGTCGAACCTCTAGTCGCCGTCGTCATCCCTCCGTCGGGAATTGACAGTGACGCCTCCACCGCAGAGCTCCTCCGCCTGAAAGTGTAAAGGGTGAAGACGCCTCCGTCCGGCCACCTTCACCATCGTGGTCTTCATTCCTTCCCGTCGCGGTCGCCGTTCGTCCATCGTCCACCATCGGAGAAGAGGTCACCAACACAAGTACTGGGGGCTGAGGTCGGGGAGCACGTTATTGGAACAGAGGATTTTGTTTTTGAAAATTTTATATCTTATGGGGGCTTGATTGTAATTTTTATAAATTTCAATATATTATAATTTAGTTTTTTGAAAATTTTATATCTTATGGGGGCTTGATTGTAATTTTTATAAATTTCAATATATTATAATTTAGTTTATGTGTTCAATTTGTTTTTTTTTTTTTTTTTTTT